CTTAAGAAATCATTCTAATATGCTGATTTATTAGAATTATCAATGTTGGCAACAGTTGTCCTGCCAAATATTTTTTTGGAAACTACGATACATTTTTCAGGATTCTTTGATGAATAAAAAGTTAAAATAATATATATAAAAATAAAAATATATATATAAATCTTTTCTAACAATATAAATCTTTGCTATCACTTCTTATCTATTTAACATATTCTTGCTGAATAAAAGTTTTAATTTCTTTCAAAAAAAGAAAGAATAAAAAGTGACTGACCCCAAACTTTTGAACTGTAGTGTACAGTATATTGTTAGAAAATATTTCTATTTTAAATAAGCTTTTTATTCATCAAAGAATCCTTAAAAAATCACGGGTTCCAGAAAAATCTAAGGCTGAAATATTAATGCAAATAAATACATACTGCTGAAAATTCAGCCACAGGAAGAAATTATTTTATTTTATTTATTTATTTATTTTTTTGTATTTTTTTATTTTAACATACATTAAAATTGAGATCTCTTATTTTAACTTGTCTTTAGGGAGTGGTTTTCTCCACATCTCAGAGAATGGATGCTTACTGAAAGCCCGAACACACTGCACTGCTGTCTAGACTTCATGTGCCTTTAGAAGTAGCTTTCTGCAAATTCAACAGAAAAAAAAAAAAATTCTGACTAATTCAGCCAGAAGACATAGTGTCATTAACAGTCTATATAAGCCAGTTTTCCAGTCACACTTTCACCCTTGTCCTGCGCCCAGGAAACCCATTATGACCCATTATGTTTATGCTACTTTAGCTTTTCACTTAAAGTCACTTCACAAGAGTAAGAGTGTCATTAGGTAGGTATAAATAACGCTCAGTTTAGAGCAGCCAGCAACAAAGAGGCCCGACCACTGGAAAGCTCTTCCAAACAGATGAAAATGTCCAAGCGGAGATGATAAAACTGTGTGCATAGGGGGGGAAAGCATTAGTCATGCTTGTACACAGAAATCGGGAAATAAATAGTGTCCTTATCAAGGTCATCAGACTCACTTTATGGGATATTTAGAGGAGAGGGTTTGTGCGTATGTGGGGTCGGAGACAGGGGGCATCTGTTGTAGCCATCAGTAATAAAAGTCTGATTTACTGATTCTCTCTCTCAGTCCTGCTCTCAGACAGGGGTCACAGCGCTTCATAAAATAACATTTGGTTTTCTTAACCTCTCTGATACACATGATAAAGGAACCTGTGGAAGCAAAATCCTAGGGAAACAGACACATATGTATATAAAAGGATGTAGATGTGTATATCCTCTGGGAAAGATAATTCCTGGTCTAATGCATTTCAACATGACCGAGACAGTACAATCCGCTTTACACATGTACTTGAGTCTACTGTTTCTGGATACAGATGAATGTGATTGTGTACCTGTCATATAGTAGCAGTCTCCGGACTGTAGAGGCAAAGCCAGACCTGGTGTGTGGATGTCCCAGGCCACCTTCAGTCCAACACGCCAACATGCCTTCTCTTTCTGTACTTCCTCCTTCTCCAAACCTTCTCCTTCTTCTTTCTTCAGTTCTTCTTTACTTGTTCCTTCACCTTCTGTCTTGGTTTCTTTTTGTTTTTCTTTTTCTTTACTCTGTCCCTCCCTGTCCTTTTCAGTCACCCCTGTAAACAAAGATGTAGTTTGAAATTTACAGCACCAGGGATGTACCAGTTTTTAGTTTTTTTTATCTAAATAATGATAAATAACACATAATCGGATAATAATATATTTGTTATAGCCAGTGACCACTGAATGGTCAATGTTAAATTTCTATGGTGACACTTAAGTTTAATGTGTCCTTGTAACAACTCACAGCACATGTATTCACTATAGTAATAACAGTGATAATCATACACAATTACATGTAACTAACACTAAATCAAACCCTATCCCTAAACTTATTATAAGTGCATGTTGTTAATTAATATTAGTCAGTACTTATTGCATTAGGATGCATTAAAATAAAGCATGGCCATTTCTAAATTATTTATGCCTAAATCAAAAATAAACACTAAAAATAAAATATATTTGATATATTTTAAATATATTCACTACAAATTAATTTAGACATCACATCATACTATACAGTATGAAAACAGATATTCATTTTGAGATTTGCAGTATCCTACATTAAATTATTATTGTTACAGATTAACTTTAAGTGAGAATCAATGACCACAAAAGGTAATCTAAATGTAAAAATAGAGTAAGGTGAATACAATAAAAAAACACTAATATTGGTGGAAAACCAAACAAAATTACAAGGAGTTTTAGACATCGCTGCATTAACAACTAGTTGTTCAGTCGGTTCTGCATACAATGCAGCAATTTAATGTCATTACCTGAAGTTGCCGTTTCAAGAACCATAATAAGCGCACAGTAAGTCGCTTTGGATAAAATGTCTCACTAATACTTAATACAGTACTTACTAATAAAATGTTATACAACTTCCACCAGCGATCTGTGTTAATCAAAAAACAATGACAGAGCCAAAGAGAAATAAAGAAAGAAAGTGTAACTGATAAGACAAAAAAAGTAAGTAAATAAATAAAGTAAGAGAGGGCAGGCTGGCACCGATCAGTGAAATCAATACAAAAGCGCTCTTGGAAGCTCGAGCCCTGAGCAAGGCTTTCTCTGCGCTCAGCAGGGATAAATAGTAACTTAATTTCAGCCTTTGCTTTCTGACACAGCTCTCAAAGGGCCATCTGCAGCTAACACAGCAGCGGCAGAAAAGATTCCATCAAAAACACTTTAAAATCACAGTGGCACAAACCATTGCCTGTTAGAAAAGGAAATGAGCTGGATCTAGTCAGTGTTGGATGAAGAGCTGAACAGGTTTGTCACTGAGCGACTCCTCCCGCCGGAGACTATTTGTGATACTACACGCCGCAGCACAGCCAGCATACTCTATAAACCCATCACAGATGTGTTAAAAGATACGGGCATCATGAAAAGCTTCGGTGAGATATTCTTCTTCAAAGCATGTTCAGGTGAAACACGAATCTATACAACACACAGATGTTATCCGAAGGGACAATAAAAAAAATAAAACCCATTCATGCACACACACACACACACACACACACACACACATATAGAGCAACAAATAAATGATGTACAAAGCGAAATTCTTCTGAGCAACAATCTGTTTCAGCTGGTCTGCAGCATTTCATAGCGATTTCTCTAAAGTGAAGGCAACATTTTGTGCAATGCTCTGCACGGGTTCCATCAGGGGAGTCTCTCTGAAGTCTGGAACCGAGGGGTCAATTTTACCTCCAAAAGAACAGCTGTGGAATAATTCCACACAAACTGACACATTCACACACAAAAACACACACACACAGACCATTCATGCGCTGTTTGAAGCGGGCCCTGGGGAGGTCAAAGGTCAAATCGGTCAGTAAGAGATTGGCGAAACAGAGCTCGTGAGGCAGATGGTTCTGGTTAGCACACCACGCTCTGTTCTGTCGAATCGACACACACACATGCACACAGCTGCATGCTAAGCTGTTAGCCTGACGTGAAGAGAGACTGATGTCCAGAAAAACGTCTCCAGTGAGATTCATGTGAAATATGGAAGATCTGGCTCCTTCTCCATGGAACAAGTTCATAACAATGACTGCATGAACACATTCAACCTATCAAGTGAAGGATGGTTTTGAACTAGCTGGTGTCATAATAAATGTTTTAGGTTCTCAGTGGTGAGCTAGAAAAAGAAAGGATTTGTTGTCTCTTCAATGAGAATGAAACAGGAGTGGGAATGTTTAAAGGGAGAGTTAACCCAAAAAAGAAAATTCTAATAATGCATTTCATACTGATGCAGAACAAAAAAGAAAAAATATGTAGTTTTGGTCATCACCGACATTCAATGCATGGACAAAAACTGTTCTTCAAAACATCTCTTTTTGCGTTCCACAGACTTAAGAAAGTCATACAGGCTTGGAATGACATTAGGGTGAGTAAATGACAGAATTTGTATTTTTCAGTTAATTTTCAGTTTCGATTCTAAAATGTAATTCTATAATGTTTTATACAGTATAAAATTTTAAATAAGCAGTAATTATTTATTAACAATTGCATTCTGATTCTGATTACATTTTTGTCCATAAAAAAAAGTAAAAGTATTTAAAAAAGTACATTCAATAAACAATGCATAAATAAATAAATTAATTTACCCTAGTGGGCTGGAGTCCACTAGGGGACCTTAGAAAACATCCAGAGAGGCCCCAATAAGACTTAACATTATTTCTGTCGGGATCACTATTGTCAAAGATGACTGACAATTAGCTCACAGTTTGGATTGGTGGTATGGTTCTGTTCTGGGCAAAAACTCCATGCCCATCCATGCAGCCTAGCATGAATAAGAGCAGGGAGAGCAGCAATCAAATGTAGCAGATATCATTAATGTTCTTAATGACAATTTAATGTGACAATATAATTAAAGATAAAGGAGTCTGACTTAACGAGGAATATCAGAAGTCAAGTCCTGACTGTGAACAAAAGGAGGAGCTGGGGATGGAGCAGGGTAATTAGCTCCTGAGCAATGCAATAAAGCTCCTGAATACTGAATAGACTTTATATAGATATGTTGTGATAAGCGTTGTATTAAAATAGGTAGTCATTGATCAACTGAGAGTCAGCTGATGCAAGCTTGACTGACGTGGCCTGCCAGAATGCTATGCTTGATTAAAATGTAGGTATAATAATAATAATCTTAACTAAAAATGCTAAAATCCCATTAAAATAAAGATGTATATTAAAGAGTAATCTGCCATCATATTTCTAAGTTTATTTGTTTTGTTACAACAGAATTACTAGAGGTACATACTGTATCAGCTTTGATAGGAGGGTTTTGGACAAAGTCGGGTCTTTGAATCTAAGAGGCTCAGAACGACAGTGTTAGAGCCCTATGGTGCCATAGCTCTGATACAGTATTAAATGCTCTACCCAAGACTTTTGACCTCTCACCTTCATTCTTTGGCTCTGCTGGGCAGCTATAGCTGTAGACAGCAACTGGTGACAGAGGAACCAGGTTCTCATCATGATGCCAACCGACCGCCATCTTGCCCATGCCATAATACGGCTCTTCCTTCAGTTGGGTCATGGCTATAGGGTCCATGTAGTTGATGAGGGTAATGTTAAACTGAACCAGGCCGGCCACATCAGGTGGCAGAGCAGATGAAGGAGGTGAGGAATGAGAACAGCCCTGACCACTGTCTTCTTCCTCTTCCTCCTCCTCCTCCTCTTCCTCCTGCTTCTCCTCAAGTAACCTGTCCTTAACACTCTCTTCGCACATTCCCTCCCCCGGTGTGTCTTCACTGTTTTCAGTGTCACTGCGGGAACGCTTGACGCCTCTTGCGTTTGTCTGCTGCTTTACATCCGAGCAAAAGAACTGATTGAGCTCCCACAATGCTTTGCAAGCGTCTCTCAGGTCGGAGTCACAGCAAGGTTTGTCTTTCTCATCTTTCTGGCCTTCTTCTCCCTCACAGTGCCATGGGATAGTGAACAGACGGGTGTCCAGATAACGGTATGTGTAGCCCGGCTGACCCACGAGAGCACGCGAAACAGCTGTGAAGACGTCCCGATCTCGGACTCGGACAAGATCTCGGAGGAGACATCCACGCCGCTGAAGAGTTCTCAAAGCAGACTGCACCCTTTCATGGAGACCATCTGGCAGGGCACTAGACTGTCGTAAAGCCAGTCCTGCATAACTGGAGTCCCACTGTCAGATTACACAAAGATTGCGCACAGATTACACATTGTCCCAAGCAAACATAACAATGAAATTAGTAAAAACAAAACAAAAAACTGTATGTGAGCAGTCTTGGCCAGAAAGTATGGGGACTCCCGTAAAGAATTTAATCAATTACTTTGTTCCATTCATTTGGCACTACTGGATAATGTCAATAATAATAATAATAATGTTAAACTTCAGATTAACTTGCTAATGAATCATTTAGTGTGTGAAACTTGTTTAAAGGGGTCATATGATGCTTTTTTAAAGATCATTATTTTGTGTATTTGGTGTAACAAAACATGTTGACATGCTTTAATGTTCAAAAAACACATTATTTTTCAAATACTGTACATTATTGTAGGTCCTCTATGCCTCTCTCAAACGCTTTGTTTTCTACAAAGTCCCTCCTTCCGACAAGCGCAGTCTGCTCTGATTGGCCAGCTGACCCAGTGCATTGTGATTGGCCGAACACCGCAAGCACTCGTCGGAAATGTAACGCCCCTTACCATAATCGCGAGCTTCATCTTTCAAAATAAATGTAACAGCCATAGGTTTCAGTAGTTCTGCTAGTGGCAACAAAGTAATTTACCTTTCAGATTTTTCCAAGCCTGGAAAACACCAATTATGATTTGCCATTTTTATCTATCTATTTCTATCTTTACATTATACACAACTGTCCCAGGTTTGGGGTCAGAAAGATTTTGTTTTAAAATAAGTATCTTAAGCTCTTGCAGAACCAATGCTGCATTTATTTGACTTAAAATAGTAATATTGTCAAATATGATATTTAGAAATATTACAATTAAAAAATAAACATTCTATTTTATTACTTTGAAATGTAACTTAATCCTGTAACAACAAAGCTAAATGTTCAACAGCTTGCATCACATGATCCTTCAGAAAATAATCTAATATTCTGATTTGGTGCTCAAGAAACATTTCTTATTACTATCAATGTCGAAAACAGTTGTGCTGCCTAATATTTTTGTGGAAACCAAAATACTTTATTTCAGGATTCTTTGATGAATATAAAGTTAAAAAGAACACAGTTTATTTGAAATAGAAACCTTTTGCAACATTATGAATGTCTTTACTGTCACTTTTAATCAATTTAATAGAACCGTGCTATATATATATATACACACTGACCCTAACTTTTTTAACAGTAGAGTACATACAGATAAAAAATTATGAAGCATTGTGGAGATTTGTATGAGTTTCTAACCAGTTCCTGAAATCCTGGGTCTGCAGGAGAAAGGTAGGGAATCCTCTGCTCACCCAGTTCCTGTATAAGCCTCCGCCTCTGTAAAGAAAACAAAAACCACAAATAAATGCAGAATTTGATTTTTATTTTTTTTGTCTTTAAAAGCACTGCATATTCAATGTTTTCTCAGGACATCATCAGCATTTTCACAAAGAAGCATATTAGAAAGTCCACACTGGCCTTTATTATATTTCTATTCATGCATCTACAAAAGTAAAAAACTCCAAAAGAGGAAAATTTCACACACTTTCATAAGTATCTCTTCCCAGTCAGAGCACATTTCCCAGAACCCTCTGCTGCCATCCCATAGTGCTCTAGTTCATGGGCATCTCAGGTTTTTACGGCTCTAGAAGGCAGCAGAGGGTCTTCTCAAAGCCACATAAACTACGGCCTTCTATGCGTCGCTCGTCTGTTAAAACTCAACCTGCTCTGCCCATCAAAGAGCGTTTCATTGGGCTGCATTCCATTCCAACCTGTAAATCCAACAGCAACCGGCATAAAACTCCGATACCCACATAAATTTCACAAGTGCACCCACTCCTGTCCCTCTCCGACACACACGTCCTCTATTTCTTCACCGCAGGTGCAAGTGAGACTGCCTTCTCTCACCCCGCTCAGGTGGGACGGTGGGGGGTGTTACATCAGTGACCCCGATCCGGCCTCCGCACCCAATTCCCCCATCAAGCAGCGCGGCAGAATGGCCACGCTGTTCCCTTAAGAACGCAGACGCACAGCGGAGACGTTAACGGAGAAAGAGGGCCATATATATGCCCTATATTCCCTGACATTTACGGAGACCGAGTTTCACATTTCAGCTATGTTAATAATGGCAGTGTTTTCACATGGGAAGGGCTTTTTGTGAGTACGCCGAACGGCTAGACTTTGCCCAAATGGGTCTTGACTTTTAGAGTAAAATAAAATGTCCTGTTAATAACATTAAAGTAAAGGCATTAAAAAGGTTACGTCCAGATTTGAGAAAGGACACGAGTGCACGTGCGACAGTGTGTGGATGTGTTAGTGAGTGGAAATATGGCTGTATAACCATTAAAATTACTGCAAGGTTTTGCAATAACGGTACAAGGAGACTCTTGAGAAAAAGATGCTCTGGAGGGCTCGGTTCAGGTCCGGTCTGGACTTGATTCTTCTGGTTATTTCCGTTAAATCAAAACAATAAAAAGCACAGGCAGACTGTCAAACAGAAATCTACAAAACAAAATAACATGCACTATTCATGGGCAATCTTGACTTAAAGGCCTGAGAGAGACAAAAAGAAGGGAGGAATAAGGCAGAGGAAAAGGGCGAGAATGAGACAAAGTAAATGCGTAGAAGGAAGAGACAGAGATAAACTGACAACTTGACACACACTCATTGTTGGTGTCAAAATTTATCTCATGACAGAAGAAGCGATGGGTATTTTAAAAAAGGCCAGTGGATTTGTGTGTTTGTGTGTATTTTTTTTTCCGCCGGTGGCAATGCTTGGCTGCTCTGATGTGCAAACACAATTCCATGCACACACACACACACACACACACACACACATAAACTCTCTGGACAGCGCAGTTTCTGGGCTAGTCTTGAGGAGCAGTGGCCTGTCACGCAGATGTCAAATACATCAAGCTGCTCACAAATTCCAAAGAAAAAAAGAGACAGACCCATTCTACTCCACAGATGAGCCTAAGAGAGTACTCTTTTCTCTCTCACACAACATACACACACATAAATAAATAAAGAAAAAAGGGGTTTCTTTCAAAGACACAAACAAACGCTCAAACCAAACTAACAGGTCTCCTCTTAGATAAGAGATGCCAGTCAGTCAAAGATAAACACAATACGTATTTTTGACTTTTAGTTCTAAGCACTGGAAGTTGAACAAACATGATATGTGTTTTTGTATTATTGTAGCTGAAATAAACCTCAGGAGGCAACACAGTTACAGTTAAAGGAATACTCCACTATTTTTGAAAATAGGCTAATTTTCCAACTCCCCTAGAGTTAAACAGTTGAGTTTTACCGTTTTCGAATCCATTCAGCCGATCTCCAGGTCTGGCGGTAGCACTTTTAGCTGTAGCTTAGCATAGATCATTGAATCTGATTAGACCGTTAGCATCTTGCTCAAAAATGACCAAAGAGTTTCGTTATTTTTCCTATTTAAAACTTGACCCTTCTGTAGTTACATTGTGTACTAAGACCGACGGAAAATGAAAAGTTGCGATTTTCTAGGCCGATATGGCTAGGAACTATACTGTACCATGGGTGCAGCAGGCGCAATGATATTACGCAGGGCCTCAACTTTTTTTTTGATCGCAACTTTTCATTTTCCGTCGGTCTTAGTACACAATGTAACTACAGAAGGGTCAAGTTTTAAATAGGAAAAATAACGAAACTCTTTGGTCATTTTTGAGCGAGATGCTAACGGTCTAATCAGATTCAATGATCTATGCTAAGCTACAGCTAAAAGTGCTACCGCTATTTTCAAAAATAGTGGAGTGTTCCTTTAAATGTCCATGCTAGTACATCAAATGTAATTATACAGATTTTTTTTTGTTTTTACAAATAATTTAAAAAGAAAAATTAACCCATACAGTTTTTATGGGGTACACAAATTTTTCACAGCACTGAAAATAATCATTCTAAAAATGAAGGGGACAAAAAAAAGCCTTGGAAAAGAAAGAATGAATTAAAATAAATATAAAAATATGCTGTATAAAATCTATGGTGTGTGTATGTACGTGTGTATATATATATATATATATATATATATATATATATACACACACACACACACACACATAAACATACACATGATAAGATTATATGGTTTTTTCATGGGATCTACTAAGTTTTTTACAGCACTAAAGTTATCGTTCTTGCAATTAAAAAACACAACAAAAGCTTGGAAGAATCCGCTAGAAAGGGATAAAAAAAAAAAAAGTAAACCGTTATAAATAAAAGCAGTAAATTCAATTCAAATTGTTGAAGATTGAAGAAAATTGAACATTTAATGTAAAATTTAAAATATAAAAAAAGGTAATATAAAAAGATGCTGCTAAAAAAAATATTTAAATTGTGCAGCCGGTGAAAACATCGGCAGAGCAAGCACAAATCTGAGTGACTGATGAGCAGAAAACTAATTCTTACAGTTTAACCCTGCAAGTGTTTGCCAACACATCTGAGAGTTTCACTATGTGTACGTGTGTCTGGAGGTAGCCTATTGAGATCCATGTGTGTAATAGAGACCCATGTTTGGCGAGTACACAGTTGGAGCTTGTGTGTCACTAGTTATGTCGCGGCAGTGCTGAGAATGCAACATGCACTTGCTATAAATTAAACCAATTTTGTAACAATTAACAAAATTAGGCTTGCACTGACAGTATTCATATATTCGATATTTGTTTTTATATTTTTTCAGGCCTAAGGAATATATACATATACAATTAATTAATTAATAACACACACTTGAATTGGTCAGTCACAAATTGTCAGTAAAAAAGTATAGTCTGACTTTCATTCTTACCATTTTTGCCAGATCAATTTCAAAAAGAAAATAAATAAAAAGAAAAATAAATGATAAAAACAAAATCGATAACCCCAAGTATGAGAAATAGTTATGAGCACCACTAATTACTTTAGGAAGAACCTAACTTAATTATTAACTCAAATTAGATAAAATAAAGATAATTATTTTAAATATTTTTTTATTATATATAGTGACAAAATTACTGAAAATGCCTATAAAGAAGGGATTGTTTTGCATTACTCTAACATTACTTTGCTAACTTCTGCTGCTTTTACAGCAATTGTGTCCAAAAAAGTACAGCTAGGTCAGAAACTGTCACACAGACTTTAAAACTACTAATGTGCCAACTAAGACACGGATCATCTATTAGCTTTAAACACACTACACATATCACACCTGCTTAAAACACACACCTAACACACACACACACACACACACACGCACACATCAGAAGCTTTAATGTCACACGACACTCTCCGCATGCCTTTTCCAGTTACTCTCATTCACTCTCTCTGGTAAGGTCTTTAGCAGGTGTAAGCCTGCGACTGAAGCCCAGGTTCTCAAATCAATCATTTGAAAGTATTTAGAAATGCACACAGGAGAGTTGCTCCACTGCCTGCCTGACGCATAACACACAGCCCTGGGCTTAAGTGCTTTTCAGGGTGTGTGTGTCGACATCTATTTCACACTCGTCCTCATCTAAAACCAGAAAAAGATGTTTCTGTGACCGATCACGTCACAAGCTGCCAGGACAGGAGAAAGAGGAGAGAAGAGAGGTGAAAGGTCAGACGCACTGATGGAGTTATACTCACACAAGCAGAAAAACACACAGGCACTGGGTCAGTCTATGCCACACTAGTCACTATGTTAGCTAGCAAACATTAATATTGAGATTATGTTAATGGAAAGGACGGTTTAGCATTAACCTGCAGATTAGACTGCACATGTCTTTCACAGAGTTTGTACTGATCAAAGTGAAATGTTGGCACACACAGTATGCTACCATTCAAAAAATGTAAAGTCAATTTTTTTTTTCTTTTTTGAAAGAAATTAATACTTTTATTCAGCAAGGACACATTGAATTGATCAAAAGTGACAGTAAAGATATATGTAATGTTACAAAAGAGTGGATTACAGTTCACTGGCACTGGTATATTGCAAAATTCATGATTTAGAAAAGTGGCATAAAATATATATGTAGGCATGAATGTTGCAATATACACTTTTTTTGTCTAAATGGTTCAATAAAGAACATTTAACATCTGAAGAACCTTTTTGTTTCACAAAAGGTTCTTTGTGGTGAAAGAAGGGTTCTTCAGATTACAAAAAGGTAAGAAAGAGATGGTTCTTTAAAGATCCTTTGACTGAATGGTTCTTTGTGGAACCAAAAATGGTTTTTCTATGGCATCGCTGTGAAGAACCTTTTAAGCACCTTTATTTTTAAGGGTGTACCAATGCCAGTGATGTTTCACCTTTCTAGAAACAAAAATTGATCTGTTATTGAATATGCTCCTTTTAGCTA